GACACCTGCATTTTGTACAATCGTATCGATATGATATATATATATATATATATATATATATATAGATATACAGATATATAAACTTGTATATAGCCATGGCAATATATATGCATTAGGGGTTAGGTGAAAGTGGGGGAATTTACATGAAGGAATCTGTATTTTGTAAGGAAAAATCTAAAATCAAATTTCTACAGGAAGTCGGGACGAAGGGGAGAAGGAGGTGGTGTAGTGATTTTCGCTCTAAAATAAAAGGAGGCCGAGAAAATCACGGCTGGAAGGTGGAAGGTGGAAGGTGAAAGGCTCTGGGGATTAGCAGGTGAAAACGGTGAGTTGATATGCACACGGTTGTCGAATAGGACAGTTGACGAGGGCGTCGCGATGGAAGGGGATTGAGGCCGGTGGCGAGAGAGGCCGGTAAAGAGGGAAGCAGAAGAAAGGGCGGGCCGAGGTGAGGCAAAAGGCAGCGGTGGAGAGTCTCGAACAAGGGGCATCTGATTCGTACGTGTGGGGAAGCTCGAGGTTCGAGGCTCAAGGTGAAGGGAGAAGAAGATTCTGGTGGGTCCAGACTAAGGCGACAAAGAGGGAGAGTTACAGAGAGAGAGAAAGAGACAGCGGAAGATACAGCAAGAGAGATTCCTAGAGAGACAGATGAACAATTAGAGGGACAGCATGAAAGAGAGACAGAGACAGAAGGAGACAAAGTGTGTGTGTGAGAAAGAGAGAGAGAGAGACATCGGAAGATACAGCAAGAGAGATTCCGAGAGAGACAGATGGACAATCAGAGGGACAGAAGAAGACAAAGTGTGTGTGTGTGAGAAAGAGAGAGAGAGAGATACAGCGGAAGATACAGCGGAAGATACAGCAAGAGAGATTCTGAGAGAGACAGATGGACAATTAGAGGGACAGAAGGAGACAGTGTGTGTGAGAGAAAGAGAGAGAGAGAGAGACAGCGGAAAATACAGCAAAAGAGATTCCGAGAGAGATAGATGGACAATTAGGGGGACAGCATGAAAGAGAGACGG